GAACTTTTCAATTTATGATACTATTCTTCAAGCACTGAAGTGAGATAGACTTCATGTGCTTTATCCAGTGCTACATTATTAGCACATTTTGCATCATGAAGACAAGTTCTGGTCATTTATTTGCTCTGATAATGACCCCTTCCTCACACCGCAAAGTATTGAGCAGTACGAAGGATTTGGCTTATGCTAATGTGCCAGTTCCGTTGTTTTCAGCGATGATACATCTGCACCTCTTTCACTGATGAGATGTCCGGTTCAGGAACCATGCACGTCTTTTCAAAATGATCTGTTTGCTAGCAAAATGCTTACTTATTGAGTAAGTGAAAAACGCTGTAATAGTGTAGTTGCTACTTAACTACCTAACCGAAATCGGAAATCCAATTCTTGGAACACATCGGTGGTAGCCGCTTCATATATGGGGTTAAAGTTCTACTCTCTAAATTATGTACATTTTTCGGAAATTAGCAAATTGTTTTCAAATCTTGTGCTAGGTTCTTCACTTCTTCCGGCGCCAAGGAAGAAATAATTTACGCATGACAACAGATTTACCCGTTTCTTTAAATGAATGTTCTTCACTACTGTATCTATGCGCTTTCTGTTTTTGTGTTGTTGGGATGGACCGGCTACGGCATTCTCTGTCCACTTTATCGTCTCGGCAGATTTTTTCCACAGTTTCGTTTCCGTTCCCGTTCCCGTTCATTCGCCAGCGGTCTTTCTAACATGTATTAGACAGGGCATGAATTGGCTGTATTAATCCGTTGGTTTATATCCATCACTTTGTTCAGTTCAGTGTTTGAGACACTATTTTAGTGGTTATCCTAATGCACTGATTTGTCGACTTTATCGACTTTATTGACTTACTGACATGAAACTTTTCAGCGACATTTTTCACAGCTGCAGTTTCTAGATCGTAAAGTAGGGTATTCGACATGTCGGTACTACGGTGGTCGTCTGAGCGCCGAACTAGCAATTTAAAAAATGGCGAGTTGAAATTTCTGCTAGATGTCACCTCCTATCGTCCTTCTGGTGCAAATAAACGAGTATCGGTGTACGGGGGAAGGAAGCATCGGTACACACCCGCCCACACACAATTTCATAATTGTTCTCGACAATGTGGCGCCGCCTGTTACTGGTTTTCCCTTTCTTCTTCAGAGTGGCGGTGTCAGTGCTTGGACAACACTTGTTTCGTACTCACTGGGTCTATTCATGTGGCCGAACCAACAGATCCTATTTTCAGTCAACATTCGTGCTGCTGGGTTAACGATTGCTGTACAGCCAATACAAGAAATCGGCATAATTTGTACAGCATATTGTAATTTCCGTAAAGGAAGGGCGAAATTTGTCAAGTGGATAGTTACTGGTTTTTAGGCGAACGTTTTTGACAGTTGATTGGTCAAAAATCTCCATAGACACAGTCGTGACTTTCGGCACTCTAAACGATTAATATCGCTGCTCTGCCTGACCGATTGCATTGTTCTTCGCGCATAGACGTTACCACATAAATAAGGACCAAGTTTTATGCATGGACTGACTTGCATAGTTTCTAATGGCATTTTACAAGAGTGATGTTCGTTAAGTAGACAGTACGTCGGCACAGGTGATTCTGAACAGAACGATGCCCTGGTTGAGAAACGGCAAAATCGAAATCGGCGATTTTCATTTTGCGCACTATCTTTGAAAAGTGAATCGGCGCATGATCGACGATATAAACGGGTAAACGTATGGTGCCCTTAAGGCTGTAGTGTATCGATCCTCGTGTATGGAGGATTAATCCAAAAATGAAAGCTTTTTACTTTCGTTACGAACCGAGCGAGTCGGCGGCGCCGGCCGTTGATCAATGTCGTTGTGGTGGTGACCGAATGAGTTCTTGTGCTTAGATTAGAAATCGTTTGTGGTCGGATGTTGAGTTTTATTGATTTTCTGTTTGCGACAAAGTTCGTCTAGCGCTATTCTGGTGATGTAGGGGAAAGTAAATGACAACGGTATCGCCTGTTCACAGCGCTGCGTCGTGCCGCGTCGCGTCGCGTCGCGCCGCGACACGCCACCGCGCCACGTAGCACCTTGACTCGCCTGCTTCGCCTCCCGTCGTCTTGCCTCCGCTCTGGCAGCGTTCTGTGAAAATGACAACTGCGTGAAAATCAATCGACGCAACGAACGGCACATTCCGCCTGGTGGCTTGGCGCCTGGCTTCGGCGTTGTACATTTTGGGTCAGAGAAAAGCCGAGGTAGTTGGCACTCTCAAGTGAACGGACAGCGAGTGGACTGGTGAGGAAGAGGCTCATCGCCGCGCGACGTTGTTTCCACCGTAGCTGACGTGTGGCAGCTAGCTTACGCCGTCGCCCCAAGCTGCCACCGCCGCAGCCGCAGCCGCCGCGGCGATGACTGGTTTTTGTGCGCCGTACTGCTGACGAAGAAATCGTCATCGTCCAAGCCATCGCCGCCGAGGTGGCGCTCACCTCACGGCGTTTGTCCGCCTGCGGCGGTCATTCTGGTCACCGGCTAGCCGTTGTCGAATTCGAATCTTGCTCACTGGCCACTGACCACTAGTAATTTCCGTCCCTCCGTTCGTCCGGTCCGATCCGGTGGCTGACCGCTGACCGCTGACCACTGACCACGAATCACTGAGTCTGCCCAGTCGTCATCTTTGTCGTCTACCAGCTGCGGTGGTCCTCTATGAACGATGACGTGATGCTTGCGATCCTGTCCGAGCTGGATCACGAGCTCGCGTACTTTAACGACTTCTACCGTAAGTAAACGTACCTTATCCTCGTCCTCCACACACTCCTGATGTGTTCTCTTTGCGCTTATGTGCTTCAGCCATGTGTCTTTGCCTTGCCTTCTGTTGTTGTGCCGCGCGAAGCCGAACGCCCTCCCGTACATACTAATCATAGTCCTCATTCATTCGACCGCTTCTTGCTCACGACGCACCGCCGATCGAACGCCCCTCCCCACCAAGCATAGTTGTATTATTCATGCTGAATTACGACCTTGCTGTCGCCTCTGCTTGCCTGATACCGAGATCATTTCGGACCACGTTTGACTCACTGTTGGCACGTCGTCCAGCGCCTTCGCTGTGATCATTTCCGATTGACTCGCATCTCAGTGTTCATCACTCTTTGAAGGGTGACGCTGTTCTCTCTTTCGCCGTAGTACTTCTTTCATTATGAACCACGGAAGCATGAAAGTGGAAAACTGTTGCCAAGTGGTTTTTGTTTTCGCGCTAAACTTGCATGCCGCCCACCTATTTGTTTCATCGTCTTTGAATCCGTCGACCGACCTACAAGGCTCGTTTGTGGCCCACTTATTGCAACAACCTGTCCGGGCTGTGTCACACCGAAGCGACTGCACATACTGACTCACACCAAGCGGAGTTACGTATGACAGTAGGAATCCCATTGAGCTGAAACGAGAGGGACCGAAGCAGATGCAAAACAATATCGAGGAAGATCTCGAGGATTATAAGAATTTAACGAACCAAAAACAAAGAACTGTAAAAGAGCATAAAGATGGCGCCTTTTTTCGTTTAAACGTATCCATTACGAGTAACTTTTACAACGCGAAGTCTTTTTCAGTAGCCGCGGAATAGGCAAGATGCGAGGCGATCGGTGGATCATCGTTTGTGCATTTCTCGAAGCTGTCACCTGGAGTGGGAGAGTGATTTGCATGAGTGGAAAGTCCCTGGTTTGTAACGTTTGCTTTTCAACACTTGCTATTAGGCACCAGTTACTACATCTTAGAAGGAGCTGTTCCTTCTCGAATTCAGATCAGCCTTGACCTTGTCCCTCCATATTGCATGTTGTTCTCTTGTTTGACATCTGTTAAGTTTCATCTGCCACACGACAAGCCTAAATAGTTTATGCCAGTAAAGTTTGTCTAGCGGGGCCAATTTCTTTTTCTTCACATCTGCTGAAGTCACCTATGTTCGGAAAAGAACCGTGTCATGCCTTACGTGGTCTCGTCGTTTAATCTTCGTCATGCGTTTAAGCTAACGCTGCTGTAAGTAGTTCAACCGTCGTA